TCCTTTCTGATAACTTAAGTAAGTCATATGTTACCTGGAAATTCCTCCTGTCCTAATTTTAAGCAAATTTCTAACAGTTGGCATAAAATATTTTATTTATTTATTTATTTTTACTGTATCAAGCTAAATATTTAGATTTTGGGGGGGGGGATGAAGGGTGTGGAAAAAAGGGACTTTAAGGCTATTATTGGTTAAATAGGGACTCAAGTCTACCTTAGCTTCAGGAGACCCTGTCTGAAGGAAACAACAACAACAACAAATTAGATAGTTGTTTTTCCCATTGGGAGTTTATATAAAATTCCATGTTTATCATTTGGGAAAAACTTGTTCTGGGACTACAAAATGCTGACAGGAAGATATTTTTCTCTCCTAACCTTGTCTCTAAAACATATTTTGGATCGTTTGCCAAATCTTGCTTTTCCTTGGCAGTTAGCAGAGTAGCTGTCTATCATGTAACAACAGTTGACTTACGGAACTTTACTGTTGCCCTTGTCTGAAAAAATTTCCATTAGGCTTTCATTGTTGAGTCAAAGCAGTTTTGTCCGTTCTTCATATGATGTCATTATTCCTCTCTAAATCCAGTATCAAAAACAGCTGGAAGTTTAAACAGAGTTGGAGACTGGGTACAGAGAAAGCAGGTGCTCTTGACTACCCTCAGCTCTCTGAGCTTCCCTCCAAGTCCCAAGCATCTCTAGGTAACAGCTTCCAGGACACTCATGTACTCCATGAGGCTGAGAGTGGAGTAGTGAGGAGAACAGGTATACATGTGCCACAGCTACACTTCATGATATATATTGCAAGAACTGAAAAGAAAGGCAGATGCTTGAAATTATATTTTAAAATGTACTTCAATAATACACTTTATATTGAATGAATTTGAAATGCTCATTTTTGGGAATGGTTAAACAGCAGGTATTTTTGTGTAACAGATTTGTCAAATATTTATCATATCTAGCTCATTTTCCCCCAAAACTTCTACCTAACCTGTGTTATATTTCTATTTCCAGGTTTGATTGTTTTTAGGTAGGTGTGTGTGTGTGTGTGTGTGTGTGTCAAAGGACAATCTTAGATGTCAACATTCTTAGGAGCTGTCAGAATAAACCTGAAGAGTAGATGATTTTCTCCTTCTACCATGCAGGCCCTGGGGATTAACCTCAGTATATTGGGTCTGGTGGCATGTGCCTTTACAAGTTATCTGAATGATCTCCTATTGAATAATTTGCAATCAAACATTTTGTTTTTAGTTCTATCCTTTATGCTGTATGGCTTAAGACTCCTTACAGGGAATGTGTGCAGAGTCACAGTTTCGACTCTACAGTCTTACTGTTCATTATTTTATAAAGAACGTTTATTCAGTGTACCATAACATAATCTGTAGAAGCATGTAGGTCTGCCTCACCCACCAATTTTGTTGTATATTGAAGACAAATTACCATTAGGTGAAAAACAATACCTTGCGGTTTTGCATGCAGTTTCAAAATTGCCCTTTCAACATTTAGTTCTGGCTCACTAGCTTGCTCTAACTTCCTTTTGGTCACAGGAATCCCAAAAGAATTCCAGACAGATAAGAACTACCCTAATTCCATTCAAGCACTTATTTTACAGTGTTATCCCAAAGACCAGCTTCCCGTATTCCTTTCAGCTCTAATTTACTCATTGTCAAATCACTCTATTAAATAGGACAAAAATGGTAATTGATACTTTTGCTCTTTATTTTTGTTGTTTTAAAATCAAGATCACAAGATTAAAAAAGATAAACAGAAAAGGAAAAAAAATCCCAAATAGAATCTAGAATCGAATGTATTTCTTTGCCACCATATATCAAATCTAGCGAGATTGCAATGAAGAAGGTAAATAGACAGTTCAAATTGTCATGCTTTAGCATGGTGGACCAAGGCTTACACAGGATATTTTAGCATACAGAAAAATGACACTTAAATTTAACTAGAGATGCAATAAGAAAATCCAAAATGTGTGCAATATGAGAAATGGGGCATTTTAAATGTAAAGTATGCATTCCTTCTGTCCTCTCTCTCTCTCTCTCTGTGTGTGTGTGTGTGTGAGTGAGTGTGTGTGTGTGTGTGTGTGTGTGTGTGTGTGTGTTACTAACATGCATTTAAAGATGTATGGGGTATAATATGTATCCTGACAGTACATAGGTGAGCCTGCTTCATCACTCACAACTACCAAGGAAGTGTTTAGTTTTTTTTCCCTGGACCAGTCAGTTTATGAAGCAATCAGAACTATCTGCCAAGTTATATCTCAAGTTATGAAGTAGAACAAAATATGATAAATAAAATGAGTTTATGTTTTCCAGAACTGTTTTGTCTCTACCTAAGTATCGTCCGGCCTGGCCTTTCATATGTCTCCTCCTCTTCCTCCATATCCTCTTCTTCTTTCTCCTCCTCCTTCTCTTCTTTCTTCCTTCCTTCTTCCTGAGTCTCTCTAGGAATGATATTTTTGGCCTCTGTAACATGTCTTACCCTTGTACTAATGACTGTGTTTGGTGTAAGCGTGCACAGTGGGGCATTTGTGTCTACCTCATATGAAATCCCATACAAGAAAATAAAACCCGAAACACACTCAGATTGTAATGTACTGAAACTCTATTTATTAGAGTTTTACTACACTTTTACTAGAGTTTTAGTCTGACAGACCTATACTTGAATAGGTAGACTGTCTCAGGCTTTTATTCAGCCAGTCTGAAAGTCTATTGTTAAGGAAATAAAAATCAATAATATTAAAGATAATGACAGTGATAACCATTCACAGTAACTGGGAGTTTATTAAATGCAGAGATCCAAGGTTCAGTTCCAGACACACTGAATCCTCTGGTTTCATTTTAGGCAGATTCTCTGATTCTTGAGTGAGTTTAGAGAATCCTTGTTTTAGGCTCTCTAGCTGTCACAGGACGACAGAGTTGAGGAAGAAATGGGCCTACTCTCTCAGCCTCTAGTCACAGCCACTCCTCAGTCACACACGTAACAGTAGTGTTTTAAGAAGTAACAAACATTAATTTACCCGAAAACCCTGAAGGTGAACTCTGTTTTGATGAAAATCAATGATACTTTCATTATGATTGAAAAATGATAAAGTAAATGGAGATTGTCCCTTTCACAGATGAGTGTCTTTAGGGGTGTGAGACCCTTTGTGTTTTCTGCAGCATTTGTATGAAGAGGGATTCAATTTTAGAGTCTGGATTTAATTTTAGGCATCAAAGCTTTGTGTGTTATAAACTGTTCTTTCTCCGTGACTTTGTTTCTATAATCGTAAGTGACAGTAAGCCTCTCTTTATTCTGATTAGTTTACCATCTTATTGATAGGTTCAGCATTGGTGACAGGGTGGGAGAGAGAATTGAGAAGGGAGTTTGAAGTTTGAATTCTTAAGAAAGAAATTTCTATATAGCCTGCCTTGAACTGAGTTCTGTTTTTTTTTTTTCCTGTCTTATTTTGTACACCAATCTGACCTTTGTCACACTCCTGCCAGATATGTGTGAGAAACTCAAAATTGACAAGTAATTAATTTAATTTTATAATATGAACAGCCTTTGATGAAAGTCCCAAAGAGTTCATAACCTTTAAGAATGAAGTTGAAATTTGGTAAGTTTGCTAAAAAAAAAAAAAAAAAAAAAACTAGCTCTTTATAATGCTAAAATTCATAAAGACAAACATTACAATCCAATAAAAAAAGAGAACTTTGAAAATGATAGTTTAGATCACTTCATAAATGTTCATATTTTTGTCTTTCCTGCTTTTATTTACAGAAAATCTGAAGTTAATTTTAAACAAAAAGGGTATTTGTAAAACAGTATTAAAAATAAAAGGAAGATTAAAAACAGAAAAAATCTTAGAAATTCTAGGCATTTCTCAGAGTTTTACTCTATTGTGATAAATTCTATCAAGTTCTCTGAAGTTAGGGCACTGCAATAACTTTTACTAACACGTGATCAAAAGTTTAGTTTTGATTTGACCAAGGCAGCTTTTTCATTATTATGTTAATATTTATGACCTTAAAAGATAAATTTGCATGCTAGTTGTAATTGGGACACATAATTCCACAGTGATCTATAGATTTTGATTTTTAAGTAGCATAAAGTCCTGAATAGAATCTGTGTGTTCTGTGTTCTGGAATGGTTTTAAAGCATGTCTTAGATGTCCCTCAGCCAAAGAATGGATACAGAAATTGTGATCCATTTACACAATGGAATACTACTCAGCTATTAAAAAAAAAGGAAATCAAAAAATTGCAGGCACATGGATGAAACTAGAAAAGATCATCTTGAGTAAGGCATCCCAGAAACAGAAAGACATGGATGGTATGTACTCACTTATAAGTAGAAATTAGCCACATAATTCAGGATAAACATACTAAAATCTACAGACCTAAAGAAGCTAAACAAGGAGGATGCTAGGAAAGATGCTTAATTCTCATACATTGGGAACACAGGACAGACAATGGAAGCGTAGAAGAGAGGAAACAATAGAAGAGAGGAGAGAGGACTAGAACCTACAACAGATGTCCTCTAAAAGACTCCAAACAGCAGGGGATCGAAGCAGATGCAGAGACTCACAGCCAAACTTTGGACAGAGTGCAGAGAGCATTATGAAAGAAACGAGATGTAAAAGACGCAGAGGGGACAGGAGGACTTCCCCTGTTAGTGAGCTAGGGAAGCGTGATAGGGATACAGTCAGAGGGAGGATGGGACCAGGAGGAGATGAGGGAGGGGGCTACAACTGGGATACAACGTGAATAAATTGTAAATAATAATAATATACAAAAAATGAACACCCTAGCACATAGTTGTTGCCTGTGTCAATTGCCTCACAAAACTGACTTAAAACTCAGTTTCCTCGATTGTGTACCCATCCCTAGATACCCAGAGGCAGCTTGGTTCTTAAGCACGTGCCCCAGAAGCACACAGAATGTGCTGAGCAAAGGACTGCCCAGCAGAGCCTTCCTAGTTTGGGTTGTGTATTGCTGAATTGAATAATCATAGTACATGGTGTCCTGGTTACTGCTTCCGCCTTTCGGGGAAGACTTGCACAGGGCCACTGGCATCATCCACAGAAAATCCAAGCATTCGTCTCAACTTACCACAAATTGGGAGAAGCGCTCAAAACCGTACCAGCTTCTCCTTGCTGAGAACACCCTAGAAGGACAGCTCAGTCAAGCAAAAATACTTTTTCCTTTCTGCCAAAACGCCAAAGTTGGGGGTGGGGTGGGCATATATTTATACTATAACAAGTCTAATTTACCCAGGTAAGATTATCTTTAAAATGCGCTCTTAAAAAAGGTTCATTTTAAATGATGTTTATTTGATTGGGGGTGTGAGTACACATGAGTGGGGCATATGTACGCATGAGTGCATTGGCCGTAAAACTGGCAGTACAGGGGTTCCTGAGGCACCCGAGGTGGGTTCCTGAGGCACCTGAGGTAGGTGCTGGAGGCAATTGCAGTTCCTCTGCAGGAACGGTGTGCGCTCTTAACCCCTAAGCCGGCTTCTCCGTTATTTTATAAAGTTCTGTAATTAACGTTATTTGCATTGATTTTACTCTGAATATTTGTCACGTTTTAATTCCACTTCTTTGTTTTAGCTGTGTTTTGGGGTGACATCGCCTTAGATGATGAAGACTTAAATATCTTTCAAATAGACCGGACAATTGACCTGACTCAAAGTCCCTTTGGGAAACTTGAGCATACCACAGGTATAGTTGATTGTTTAAACAAATTTATAATATTTTGGAGAAAATATAATTGAAATTCAGTGAATATGCTTAAAAAACCACATCAGATTTGACTGTATACGTGGAAATAAGCCTAAAGTGTGGGTTGTTATCATAGCTTTCATTTGTAATGAGGTGGTATAATGAAATGAGACACTGTCTCATGTAGCCCAGGCTAGCTTCAACCTTGCAGCTGGCCTCAAACTTCTGATTCTCTTACCTTCATCTCTAAAATGCTGGTATCATATGCTACCATACCAGGCATTAAAGCATTCATTTGATGCCATGCCTTCTATCTTATTTAATTCTCCCCTTTATCACTTTTCCTTCTCTTAAGTAATATAAAATATGTATGCAATTCTTCTCTACTGTTTATCAGATAAATATGTCTTAGGGTTAAGACTTTTTACTGTGCACCAATATTTCTTTGTCCGACATATTAGTTTTAGTAATCTTTTAACCTTTATTTCAGCAAATTTCAAATAGCTGTATGACAATGTAGAGGTGCTGTACTTCCTAAATGCAGCAGATGTTAACAATTTGTTCTCTCCCTTTCTCTCTCTCTGTCTCTCTGTCTTTCTCTTTCTCTTTCTCTCTCTCACTCTCCCTACCACCCTGTGTGTGTGTGTGTGTAGACACACATATGCACATCTGAAGTTTTGAAATTAATTACAGAAAATACACATAAAATGCAACTTTGCATTTCAGCATTATATGTCTTGGCAAGCAGTTTCTAAAATAAGGGTATTGGCTTATAGTGTTAAAAACCCCACCTTAACAGCTCAGAAATATTAAAAAATAGTGAACGTACTTTGTTCTTTGTGACAGTCTTTCTTGAAACTTAGACCAGTCTCTGTACATACACAAATATTAATACATAGGTAATATATTTATATATGTATATATAAATACATATGCTAGTATATCTTTATAACTCTTGTGATTGGCATATGTACATCTGCTGGGCTGTGCATTCTAAGAACTGAGTAACTAAGGGCCACAGAACTTACCCAGTGAACTCGGTTTCAAAACCATCAATTAATGCAAATTGTAATCCTCTCTCACATGCAAACAAATGCATCCACTTAGTCCTAGTTGACCCTTCTCTCTGCTAGGCTTTGCATGGAATTTCGACAGCACCTTCCTCTAAAGCCTGTCTCTTCCTCCAACTGTCACAGGAGCAGTTTATTCTGGATAGTAATGAAATGATCCTGCTCTGCAAAGCCCAGTGTTTGTTAAACTGTGTCTCAAGTTTCTATTAGCCCTCTCCTTTACTGTAAGTCTAGGCCATTGCTTCAGCCTCACTTCCCACACTATTTTGGACCCATTGATTTTCTGTGATTAAGAAGAAGTAACAGTGTCATTTAATGTTGTTATTTCATTTAAAGATAGGCTCTGGGAAAACATATTTGGAGAGAAAATAACATCGATTTAAATATACAGTATAGGACACGTTATAGTTTTGACACTATAAACATAAGTCTGTGAGCTCAGTTGTAACTTGTACTCTCCAGGAGAATTTTAAGTAATTTTAACTGTCCTATATTTTAAGATATTTTTTCTGTTTTCCTTTCATGTTAATTTGTTTATACAAAGCTCTTATTTTTCTCTTCTTCTAATTTCAAAATGTATGAGTTGTATTTATAAATAAATAGTTGATTTGTATATTTCCACTCTGTTCTAGAACAAGTGACAACATGTTTTAAAGCTTATGAACTACCAAGTGTCAAATTTCATTTCATTTATTCTAAATATTATTCAAAATTGCTAAAATATTCTTCCAAACATGACTACCTTTCATAGAATAAGAGCACTGACTTTCAGTTCTATGAATCCCATCCTCAGAACTTGATACATTCCTTCCTTTTTCGTAAGGAGCCTTTTAAAGCTCTTGTCACACATACATCTCTGCTCCATCTAAGATAAACAAAGTTTCGTGTAATGGTCACTTCAAACATGTGAAGCCCACACTTTAAAAGGGTTTCAAGTAGCTGTTAAGGAATGAATACATTTGAGTGTGACCTCATCTTTCTGAAATGTCTGATGGAAAAATTTCAAAAATTTTTCTCAAGATGCACAGAAAAAAAAAAAAGAAAGAAAGAAAGAAAAAAAATGTGACCATGTAATGCAAATAATTAAGCAGACTACTAGCCTATACTCCCACTAGTTTGCCTTATAAGGACATTTGACTTCTCCTATAAAAAGTTAGATTTCTTTATTCCTTTCCTCTTTTCTTCCTTATGTTCTGAAGCATCCTTGAAGGCTACTTATTTTTTTACTTTTAAATCTTGCGAATCACATAATCTTAATGCAACACATGTTTACAGTTGAAAATCGATTGGGTACTTGCCTTGTGGCTTTTTCCTGGTTATATAAATTAGGGGAAATTGCTTTCAAAATGTAGCTGAATGTACTATAAAATTTGAGTTTTAAAACTATTGAAACTTTGGAACTATTTCAAAGTTTGAGAACCAAACTTACTCTGCAAGCTTGCCCTGTGAGTGTTTTGATTTCCGGTTACTGGGGAGACATCTGAACAGACTCAGTTTGCATAGAGGAAATAGCTGGGAAGCAATCTTTGGGCTCTGTGACTTCCTGACATTCTGCTTTCTGAATAACATGGTTATATAGCAACATGTGGTGTTGAGGTCACAGCAAAGATAAATGTTTCACATTATCAATAGGTAACTCAATTGTCACGATGCCCAAATAAGGTAATTTAAGCTGCTGTTGAGTTTCATCTGCTTCTTTATTTTTTACTAACATGTGTTTCCTTAGAAACTTTACCCTCTACAAAGATTCATGGATATTAAATTATAACACATTAATTCCACACAAAAGCTTGACCAAAGAGAAATTAGCAATATTAGTATTGCTTATTTGTAAGGACTGATAGTATTAGACTTACTATATATGTATTTTATTTTTTAATTTTTTTAGGTGGCTTTGGAGATCATGGCATGCCAAAAAAAAGAGGAGCACTCTACCAACTTATAGACAGGATCAGAAGAATTGGCTCTGGTATATCAATGTTTAAAGTTGTAGACCCTAAACTTGATGTATACTAAACATGATACCCATATAAATTCAGTTACTAAAGATCAGTGTGCCACTGTTCTGTGAAGCAGGTTAAGGCTATGCTGAGAGAATCTCTTATTCATTTGTGTTTTGTTAATTGGTACTTCATGTATGGTTTTAAGAGCTTAAGTTGGAGCACACTCAAATGTTCTTTTGACTAAGCTTAAGCTTTTCCTTATATAAAATGACATAAGTATTAATGTATGGCTGATATTTATTTGCAGTTTATGTTTCCTACCAAAATATCTTATAAGCTATAGAGCTGTGTTAATTTTTAACAAATAAGGAAAACACAACAACAACAACAGAGCAGTATTCGTTTTAAACAAGAGTCATTTTATTTAACTTGACAAAAGGAGATTCCAGTTCAGAAAATGATAGAACCAAACATGTTTTCTCATGCCTATAATCTATAGCACTTTGGAGGCTGGTGTACTGTCATAAGCTAGAGGTGGCCTGAGCTACGTTGTGATTAGGAATACCTGAGACTCAGCCTCAAAACAAATAAACAACATCCATATAAATAAACAAACCCTCAAACCAAAACCATAAACAAAACACACCCAAATTAAACTCAAAACAACAACAACAACAAAAAGCACTGGTTCAGTGGTTGAGCACCCTAGATGCTCACCCAGAGGGCCTCCTTTCAATTCCTAGTGCCAACATTGCAGCTCACAACTGTAGCTCTAGTCTCTGGGTACTGGATACTCTTCCTGGCTTCTGCATTTATCAGGAAGAAATGTAGTACATAGACATAGATTCAGGCAAAACAGCCATATACATGACAAAACAATAAATTTAAAAACAACCAAAACTCAAAATAGTAGCACCATATTTATGTATTTCATAAAAATTTCTTAAACAGAAATTCATTCTGATTTCAAAATCAGTCTATACCCATAATATTGAATCTATCATTTGTAGATTTTGAAACCTTTTTGCAAAATCCTTTATTTGTGTTTCATGCTCTAAGATGCCTTCAATTGGTAGATTAATAAATAAATGGTTGAAGAACAAGCTTTGCAGTAGAAATTTTTCTAATTTGTTTGCTCAAAGACATTGAAGAGAAAGACACTTTAGACTTTGTCATGGGAGCCTCTGTTAAATATTTGCCACAATAAAGCATGTAATAGAGTGGGCCATCACAATGACAGATTGATGAATGGAAAGAATAATCATGAGCATTTGTGAAAAACAAACACAGCAAAAGAAATTCCAAGAATGGCAAAGGAAATAAGACACTTGAGTTGAGTTTGTTATGAATCAGCAAAACAAACAAGGACATAACTATGTTGAAGCAGCCTTTGGCTTAGGCTGAAGCTGGAGAAGAGCACTGGAGACAGGAGTTGAGACAGACCATTGTCTCAGTGGCTAGCACCATATTTTTTCTCAACTATTTAAATGATACAACATTTATGGCTTTAGGCCATACTAATTGAAATACCAACTTTGATTATAACGATTAAGTATATAGTGAGAATAATTTAAAGAATAATCTCAAAAATTAAGCTCTTTTACTGATCAGTATCTATTTTCTCTAGTGAATAGCTCATGGGCTGGGCTGATATAATAGATAATATAAGACATTTTTATCTTGATATTATGCTCTCTCCAGATTTCTGCCTCCTAAAATCCGCAATGTGGAAATTCATTCCAACTCATCCATAGGGCAATAAGAAATGAGGTTGGGCATGAAGAACATAAACATTTCTATATATTTCTTAAGCATATAAATGACTGATATTTTCCTTTAATGCAGTTCAGTTATGATTATATGAATACATATATAAGTCATTTTAAGTTTTGTCCTTTAAGAGGTGTGTGACTCTGACCGAGGACTTCTGTTTGACAGAATGTCTTAAATATCACTGCAGGCATAGAGCAAAATAACACCACTAAGGGAAAAGCACCTCCAAAATTATCAGAGCAAAATGAGAAATATCGAGTTCCCAGAGCTGCTACATCAAGGACGGAGAGAATATGGCCTGGGGGCGTCATTCCTTATGTCATAGGAGGCAACTTTACTGGTAAGATATTCCTAGTGAGTGAGAATGCTTTTTTTTTTTTAAGGAAATCTCTTATATAGGTTATCTATTTAGAGTATTAATGTAGAAAATACACAATCTAATCAAACTTGAGAAAAGGCTCAAATAACCTAATTTCAAACATCTCTGCATATATATCTTTAGTCTTGCATTTTAGAGTCTCAAGCATTGTGCTGGATTTTGAACTGTGTTCCATGTTTTCTGTGGAAGGATGCTTGTCCTCCCTGACAGGAAGAATGTACACCCCATGCCAAGAGTCTTGTACTCATCTGTAGAGCTAGTGGGCCTTAGCTCTCCGATTATAGAGTGAGTGTGGATTCTGAACAATGACTCATTTGCAGTGCTGTGAACCAGACATGGTTGATGACAGTGCTGGTTGGTGTCCTGAAATGCCAGCCAGGATGGGGGAGCCAGCACACAACACACCTCCCTGCAAGCCCACACTGTTTTATTAAAGTCATGAATTTTTCCAGGCAGCCAGAGGGCCATGTTCAAGCAGGCCATGAGACACTGGGAAAAGCACACGTGTGTGACTTTCACTGAGAGAAGTGAAGAAGAGAGTTACATTGTTTTCACCTATAGGCCTTGTGGGTAAGTAGAGAATGGACTTCAGTTTTGAAGATTAAAAGGAGAGAGCCTTTAGGTAGGATTCCTGTGTTCCTGTTTGCAAATTGCGTTGGCCAAGAGAGAGTCTGAGAAGAAAATTTACGTACAGACAAATGTACTTTTGATCACTGGGCTTTGTGCCCCTTGTAGGTCATTTCTCTTGCTACAAGCAGGTTTTCCATAGCTCTGTTATCTGCATTTAGAAATCTCCCTGCCTGGGTCTAGGCTCCCAGGCAAGTCTACACAGTTGTTTTCTAGTACAGTTGTCAATTGGTGTCTGCTGTCCTATGTTGGTACTCAAGTTCTCATCTGCAGCATCTCAGACCTTCAGGCCGATCTACCTGCTCTCCAGTCTCACTTGTTCAAGTTGCTGTCATGAACACTGTCTTCCCAACACACTGGTCTGAAAGAAATTTGATACTTACTGATAACCTTTGATGTTTTCTCCTGCAATAGCGTTTACCAAACGTGCTTACAAGATAGTAAATACCTTATTAAAAATAATTTTAGGAAAAGAAAAAATAAAAAGGGTTAAAGCATGTAAAGAGGAATGTATGTGGGATTCATTGGGAGTTGTTGAGGGGGAAGGAGGTGAATGATATCAATTTATATGCATAAATGAAATTGTCAAAGAATAAACAAAGTATTATAATAAAATAGATAATAGTTTAGGAAGTTGGCAAGATGTCCCATGGAGTAAATATGCTTGCAAACAGATCTGATTGCTTCAGTGATGTCAAAATGCCATGGAATAAGCAGAGTCGACCCATGCAAGTTGACTTTATAGCTTTACATGTGTACCTAGTCATGCGTACCTCCTTCCCTGGTGCGGCTAATAGTAAATGTAAACATCCCTCGGGTAAAAAAGGTTTCTGTAAATACTGAGATTACAGGTTAGTAGTTACTTCTGCAGCAGAGCTCCAATAGCTATAGTTGCCATTGCACTATTGAGTGTGCTTTTGAAACTTACTTGAAAGGAAGGCTGTCACTCTCTGCTTTGAGAAGTGGATATTCATGTCTGAGAATGTTTTATGTAAGCCTAACCTGAAACACAAAATCCAACTACTTTCAAGAAACGTCAGGAACTTAGAGTAATGGCTGCATAAGCTATTTCTGCTTTCACATCTCTCCCAAAATTGCATAATATTGCAAGCTGCAGCAGTAGCAGCTTGTCCAGCAGTGACAAGCACTTTTGTGGCCCTTTTATTTGGATTGGAGAGATGGCTCAGTGGTTGAGGGAAGTCGCTGCACCTCACAATTCAGGGCTACCTGCATGTGCCTGTAAGCCCAGTTCCAGGGAACCCAAGCCCTATGGCTTCTGTGGGCATCTCTATTCATGGTCATTTACCACCCCCACATATACATATCATTAAATACATATAATTAAAACAGCAATTAAAAGATATGCAATCTTCTTTCCTATGCTTGGAATTAATTTACATTTCTAGCTAAAATTTTAATCAAATGTAGTTTGATTTGTTTTCTAGTCATGCTTGGTAGTGATTCTGTCTGTCTTCTGTTCTCTTCATCATAAGGCAAATATTGTTGGATGTCCTAGTTTATGATGTTTTAAAAGGTCAGTAGAGAGATGCAGTGGTAGCCAGACACAATTATCACAAACATCCACATCATTGCAGAATGTTGATTTTTCTTTTATATGCTTTTTAATTAGGAAAGTTCTGTTCTTTTATTAAACAAAGGAACAGTAATTATGATCATTGATAGTCAATCACTTCAGTGTATCTAGGTATCCTTTTTTCCATGTAATTTTTAAATAATCAAAATAGATTTTTTTAATTCACTGTATTGTGATTAATGTTTCCCCTTTCACAATTCTTCCCAGATCCTCCCCACCTTCCTTCCAATCCAGATCCACAGCCTTTTTGCTCTCTCTCATTAGAAAAAAAAAATAATAAATATGGGTTAAAGGGTAGGCTCTCAACCAAAAACTGTTGAATTTGCTAATGTTATTTTATTTCTTTTGAATTTATTACATGAAGATCCTCTAGGCACACAGATTGACCTAACTGCTACAACTATCTAAGTGCTTGCTGTTCATATGGAAGTCAAAATGGTTGCTTAATTCTTATGGAGAAAATGTTTCTGACCTTGTCATTCTGTCCCCTTTTTCTATTTAAGGAAAACACACATAATATCAGCGAAAACACACATAATATCACATTATTTTCACCTTTTCCATATTTTTCTTAGATAATTTAACTTTAAACAGTAATGGATTTCAATTTTGTGACCTGAATGATGTTAAAGGCAAACATTATTGTCTCCAGATACTTTTGGATAGTGCCATAAAGTATTATCCATTGTTCAAAGATTAAGTAATGTCTTCTTCAGATTATGCTGATTTTGTCTGGGTAATTTTCAGTTACCTTTGGAATGCTTCCTAGTTCTTATATCTGTTTAATGTTTTAAACATCCAGATCTCTGAGCTTCCTTCTGATTGTCTAATTACCCAGACAAAATTAGAGTAATTTATATAGTTCCAAATGCATAATATATTTAGACCCAAAATTGTTCCTCTTTTCCAGCATTAAATTTTGTAAAACAAAGCTCTATTTTTTTTTTTTTGCAACACATTGATATTTATACTCATTTCTTTTTTCTCTTTGAAATTTTTTATTTCGCTTTTGTCCTACCAGGCCAGTTTTCCCATTCACCATCTTTTTTGTTTTGTTCATAGTTCGTATTTCAAATGCCTTTACAGAGTAGATGATGTGTTTAGAATGCAAGAGAAGAAAGCAGATTGAACAATATGAAAAGTGGTATTTCTCAACATAAGATAATTTATTCCTATGTCAAAGCCGACGATGACAGAATGGAGAAGTCAAGTATTTCTGCTTCTGGCCGTGGCAGTCTAATTAATCTAATCCTGAAATGTAGTTAATATTTGCAGGGAGGCTCCATTAAAGCACACTCAGTTTTCCTCCATCAGTGGGTATCAATTGCATAGAGCTTCTTGGTCAGGGCTGGGAGCCTGCATATACTTACCCTCTCACAAAATAAACTGAGGTTATTTTTGTAGACTTTCCATCTCTAATTTTTTGGGAATCTTTTTGTATTATTGGTCTTTTGCTTGTTTATTTTGATTTCACTATTGTAATTCGTGTGTGTGTGTGTGTGTGTTGTTGTTGTTGTTGCTTTGATTTTCTTTTGTCTGTTTGAAGGGAAAAGAAAGAACACAAAGCTGAGTGGGTAGGGATTTGGGGAGGGAAAATAAGAAGAACTGAGGGAGAGGAAAACATGATGAAAACACATTGTATAAACCTTTGTTTCAATTAAAGAAAAAAGGGGGGAGGGATTAGCTGAAGATGGGTCCTACCAAAGTTTCACAGGAAAAGCCCTGGTAAATAATCTAAACCAGCCCAGTCTTCCATTGTGCTTAGGTTCCGGTGCTAGAAATGGCCACTAACACATGCCTGGAAGCATATTGCAGCACTGAATGTATAGCATTTAATTACATATAATAAGATTCTCTATGGAATGTGGCATGCTTATACCATGGTACAACTGATGGCAATATTCATCAGTTCCACTATTTCTTTCCTTTCAAATGTATTTATTGTATGTGTATTGATGTTTTGCCTGTATGGATGTCTAAACATGTGTGTGCCTGGTACCTGCAGAAGCCAGAAGACGACACTGGATCATTTGAAACTGTAGGAACTATTAGCTGTGAGCACGTAGGGTTGATAAGAATCAAACCTGAATCCTTTATTACAGTCCAGTGCACGGAATCACTGAATAATCCCTTTGGCCCCCACCGTTCTACTTCAAATGTTAATACGGTAAAGAAACACATCTTATCTTTATCTGCTTGCCAATAACTTGTAACTTCGATTATTTCTAAAAATAGGAACAACAACAAAACAAACAACAATAAAAACAACAAAAACTCCACCCTCACAGGGAGAACTAAGAATTATTGAATACAGAACTTTCAGTACTTTCTAGAACATTATATTTTCTTTCTGTTTTGCTAAGGAAAGCTTTACTTCATTATAAATTGGTGGCAGGAAGAAAAATAACGAAATGTAATAAATAAATAAATATTGAAAGATATTAGTCACATTATTTTATTTAGATTTAGTGAGTTTCATACTCTAAGGTTATAACTATTCACAAGTATGTTTTTATAAAAAATGTTCATGCATGCTGTCTTTGTTCTATTTTCAGTAGAATATATAATTTAATGTTCCTAACATATTTGAAGAATTTAAGCTGAGAAATTAATATTTTCAATGAATGGCTATTATAATAGTGGTATTACTATAACAAAGTTAACAAAAATGTGATGTATTTTAATGGAAAATATTTGATTTGTTTTGTGAGAGATTTGTCATCAAATTTATTACTTTAGTCTAAAAGTACTTATATCTACTAGTACTATTATTCTACTAACTTCTTCAGTAATATTTTTCTACCTAATACTCTTTAATGATTGTTAAAAATTAGAACTGAGTAAATATATTTAACTATTTTTCTAAGTTTGTTTCAATATTTGAATTTTGTCTGTTTGGATTAAGACAACAGTGAAATTATCCTATACTTGTTTGGTGCTTACTTCATTTGTGCGACTTCCATACTGTGTTTTGAGACTATAACTTTGAACAGAAGGTGTTTTCTTTCTTCATGAGAATTTCAGTTGTCTTCCTCTCTGGCCTGGTAAGACAATGCAGCCAGTCCTGATGAGACCTGATAGGGTAGGGTCAGATAGAAGGGAAGGAAGACCTCCCCTATCAGTGGACTCAGGGAGGGGCATAGGGGGAGAAGAGGGAGGGAAGGTGGGATTGGATGGAGATGAGGAAGGGCCTGCAGCCATGATACAAAGTGAATAAACTGTAATAAATTAGAAAAAAAAAAGTGAATTCATTTAAAAGATGTGTGGTAGTCAAGGTTATTGTATGCAAACAACAGAGGCAAGTAAATTTATTAGGAGGTTTTAAATAAATTCTTGAAACATACTAAGG